CATATATACATTCACACATATGTGCATATACTACAAATCACGTAATTTTTAATTAAACGCTTTCAACCTTTTAAGCATACACATTATCTCTGACCCATACACAGTGTCATTGGCACATACTGTTTAACCAACACACACTTTCACAGGCAGAAACACTATTGACAGGCACACATTCACTGACAGACATACACTCTCAGATACACATACACTGATATACATCCACTCACATACACACTCACTGACAGACACACACCCTCATTGATTTGACACAATCTGACAGACACACACATTCACTGACACACACACTCTCAATGATAGACAGACATACACTCTCATGAGTCTGTTACTCTCATTGACACACACTGACAGACACTCACAGACACACAAACATTCACTGAAAGACACAGATGCACTCACAGACAAACAAACACTCATTGATTTGACACACTGACATACACACAGACTCACAGACAGACACACACACACACATACACTGATAGACATACACACACTGACAGACACAAACACGCATTCACTGTCAGACACACAGTCTCACTGATACTGATACACTTAGACACTTACACATTCTCCACACACTCACAATTTTTTATTAGGTTTTTATTTTTATTTAAGTCCACCCAGCCTCCCTACCTGTGTGGATTCTTTTGCTGGGGTCCAGTGGGGATCCTGTCCCTGGGGTCTAGTGTGGCTGCTGTGACTGTCATCTTCCTGATCTGTTCCTTCGCATGCCATTTAGTGATGGCAGGGCCAGAGTGAAGTCATATTATTGCTACCAGCATCATTGCAAGGCGCCCAAGAGAGCAGAGCAAGAAGAACACAGCTATCAATTCTCCCTTGCTGACCTCTTACATTGCACACAGCCGCCTGCCTTGGGGAGGTTTCCTAATTTGGACAGCTGCCCAGCTGTTGAGCACCACATGACAGGTGTAACACAGGGTACCTGGTCGCACTTTCGACCTCAGTGACCCCTGTAGTTTCGCCACTGGGGTGAGGAGTATCCAGTTTCAAAAACACTTTCTAAAAGTTCCAAATTCTGTGAGAATTAGTACTTTTATAATTAATTAATGAAACACCCCCCAGGCTGTCAATCATACAGCCAAGAAGGTGTGCTTCCTGCTTCCGTTAATTCCCCTACCTACCTCCTCCATACCTCCTTTTCAGATCTCAGATCAGAACACTGTGCAGTGCGCACAGACACAGAGGGATCACTTTAGAGGCTTCTCAATGAGACTGTTAGTCTCTTTCTGGGAAAAAGCACTAGGGCTTACAAAGTCTTGAAAATGCATGTGTGTATTCCTTAGAAGTTTATCTACTAAACAGTGATCTGTACTTTTTTGCCCACTTGGACTGCTAAGTGTCCATCAATAAGTGATGCCCCCATTTAGTCTTTATCCTTTAATAACATCAAAACATTTTATACCTTTCGTGTAAACTCGCTCTCCACCTCTGCACTTGTAGGACTCGGTAGCCACAGCAGACTGGGAGCAATACACACTGCAAGATTGAACGCGGTCATTTGGTTGGTGTCGGAGTGCTGTTCGATGCAGTGTAGGACTCCAAACAAGTAGCGAAGAAGCATCACGTTCACCCTTGGAAGCTTCTCAAGCAATCTGCCATTGGAAACAAAGTAATTCTTGTAATTGTGTGCAAATCCATCAGAAACACATCATAGCTTTGCCATTAGCTATATGTTATGTAGACTATGTTGGTGGTGCAAGAGATTCATTAAGATTAGCACTGACTGCTTTCAATGCAAGCATGTAATAAGTAACTGATACCTAAGTTAGGGCTTAAAAGTCCAACGCTACTAGCCAGGCCTTGAAATTTACCTGCATCTACAAGCCACAACATACACACCAGGGGTGAATTTTCACATGCCAATGATGAAAAGTTTGAGCCAAGCCTAAGTAATAGGTTGGAAAAACTTGCGGATGTCATTATACAATTATTGCACATGGACATATCTGGACAATATGATGTCCTCCGGCTTTCTGAAACTCAATCTCTCTAAAACTGAGCTCCTTGTCTTTCCTCCTCCTCTTTCACTCTCCCACATCAGTCCATCCTTGCAAGCGCGCTGTCTTGACGTCATACTTGATTCTGGCCTCACCTTTGAGCCTCACATCCAGTATGTTGCCAAATCCTGTAGATTCCATCTTGAAAACATATCCCCCATCCGCCCCTTTCTTACGCAAGATGCTACCAAGGAGCTTGTCCATGCTCTATTGATTTCCCGCATGGATTATTGTAACCCTCTCCTGATTGGTCTTCCCAAAAGCCGTACTGCACCGCTACAGTCCATATTGAACGCTGCTGTCAGACTGATTTTCCTCTCTAGTCGGTTCTCTCACCCCTCTGTCAAGCCTTACATTGGCTTCCTGTATGCTATAGGAGTCAATTCAAGGTACTAATTCACACCTATAAAGCACTGAACAACTCTAGCCCCTCTTATATCTCTTCACAGATCCATAGGTATGTCCCTTCTCGGTCTCTCCGCTCTGCCTGTGTCCACCTCCTGTCTGTTGTTCGCACCCGTACGGCCAACTCACGCTTGCAGGACTTCTCGCGGGCGGCTCCCTTCCTATGGAATAGCCTGCCTACCGCCATCAGACTCTCTTGCATCTTTTAAGAAGTGCCTTAAAACCCTTCTCTTTAGGAAAGCTTATGGCCTCCCAGACTAAGCTCTACCTCATACCTGTCTCTTGCTCTCTCCTAAAAGGCAGCCCACGTTATTTGATTGCAAATTCCTGTCCTATTGTGTTTTACACCCCACCTCCTATAGAATGTAAGCTTGTTTGAGCAGGGTCCTCTCCAACCTATCGTTCCTGTAAGTTTTTTGTAATTGTCCTATTTACAGTTAAATCCCCCCTCTCATAATATTGTAAAGCACTATGGAATCTGTTGGTGCTATATAAATGGCAATAATAATAATAATAATATATACATATTTCAGAATCAGTATCACACACGCATGTACAGACAAACACGTTATTATTTTATGCTATCTATATGCAACCTGTGTGTACAAAAACATTTAGTTTGTTTTTGTAAATTGAGTTGAGAAAGTTATATGAGTGCTCTTTTTTCAAGTTTTATATATAAATGTAAATATATATATATATATATATATATACACACACACACACACGCATATACCCCTACACTACATTAAATGTTACCTACTACTCTACATTAACACTATCAATAAACAATAACCCCTATTCTATACCATCACTAACATAAACACCTACACTAACATTACCTCAACACTTGCTTTAACACTAACCCTGGCTTTTAATGTCGTGTGATATTAAAAGATACTTAACAACAAATCACATTGTGAAAACAATGTAATCAGGAGACGTTTACACATCATTCAACTTTCCTTTTGGCCTTGTGGTTTATTATGATGTCTCCAGAACCCCTCCATAGAATTGCTTTTCCATATTTGGTTCACTGTTATGTATTCTAACTCTTTCTCTATACATATTTAACATTTCTCATTGAGAAGTATCTCTCATTGGTTAAATAATCTCAATATTACACATTGTTATGTATCTATAAGATATTTCCATAGGATTTCTTCTTGGTGGGATAATACATTTGTAGCAGTTGATGCTAATGTCACACATAGGCATTTGCTAAAGGTATACCACAGCGGGATCTCTCATTAGCGCAACATAATTCACTTTTTTATGACACATGAATACATTGCTGTACAATACATCTCTCAGTACAACCTCCAGGTTTGTGAGCACAAAATGTTGCTTTTATTGAAATTAGCATTTTATTTCATTAATTTAATACGATAACATCAGGATCTTTTTAGTAACTCCTACTAAGTTTATTTTCTAACTGAGGGCTGTTTACATACCGATACAATAGTTACTACTTTTTTTTGTTGTTGTTGGAATTTTGAAAAAAAAAAATGTAGGAATGATAATTATATGGTAAAAACAAATTCCAAGGATAGACATGTTGCAATTATTGCTCAATATGACAAGCTCTGCGCAAGGACATAATATACGAAATCATGATATTTGAATGCACAGACGTATTCCTTTGTAGAGTCAATTGTGTATGAAATTATTTGGAAACGAGATAAATGTTATATTATTGCTCAGAGAACATTGCGTGCCCACAAGATGGAATTCTGGCTCCACATCCCTCGAAGCTTTAGTTTGTATGGCATTGCAATGTTTATGGTATATACACAATATAACATAAGCAAAATTATAGATCAAGGCTTACCTTTTAATGGCTTTTATTTTTTCTTGTTCGGCTCCTTGATCCATAACAGAAACCCAATTGTCATAAAGTCTGGATGAAAAGATACTGCCTGGGATGTTACGGAGAAAATCCTTTGCGATAGAAGAAAATGATGGATGTTACAATGTATAATTATACAGGAGGACAGATATAACTGTAATCTAGGCATGCAGAGAACCAAAATAAAACTTCAGGAAGACTACATGTTAACCACTTCGACAATAACCATGTGGACTATGGGATCGAGTTGTTGTGCAGACAGGTTTCAGGACTGTCAATCACAGTGGTGTGGCTTTCTTCTTTAATACCATACACCGAACGTAAATATAACCCTCACCATCCATTTACATGGCATTGAATAGAGTGAAGTATCTTTCCATTCTACATTCTATCTTAGTAGCAAGCAAGCTCTTAATCTCTAACATGTTCTTCTTATGGTTGATTCTTAGTATCACTTTCCCTAATCATTTACAGAGCATCTCAGGGGCTGCCTGTTTTTAGCCAAATTCTTTATCCCCTTGGTCCAGACTTTCATTGAACCTTTAAAATATTTAAAAACTTCTCAGGGTGCCATATTGAATAATTGATAAAACCCATTAGAGCTAAAACTGTTTACTCATATGGGAAGCTAATTTTCAATTGACTTTTAAATGAATGTGACTTATCCTACTTTTAACTAGAGATGTCGCAAACCGTCCACGAACTTCTCAGCTGACACATCCCGGCCAATCTCCGGCAGACCCTCCCTCCCAGACCCTCCTACTTCCTGGACAGCATCCATGTTGAAGGCAGCTTCAACATGGATGCTGTCCAGGAGGTGGGAGGGTCTAGGAGGGAGGGTCTGCTGGAGATTGGCTGGGATGTGTCAGCTGACCGGAGTTCGCCGCGAACGGTTCGTGGCGAACCACGGCTAACCGTTCGCGAGAAGTTCGCGAACGGTTCGCGACATCTCTACTTTTAACCAATTAACTATACTACCTTAACTTGCCCTCCATTCTTTCCAATTGAATAATTCAAAACCTTCTGATTATATGTACACTCAAACCCTAACCCACCCTACCATACACCTCACCTTTCACGAAGAGTTAAAACTGTTAACTAATATAATTTTTATGTAAATGTTATCCTATTACAATATGTTATGAGAGTATTTGCAATGGTCTTACATGTAAAATATCCCTGTTTCACAGAACAAGCAACAATGAGTAATATAACAGTCATTCATTATTTTGTTCTGCAATCTATGCATAATAGGAAGATTCACTGAAAGCTGCTTGCATGGAAAAACGTAGGTCTTCTTATTGCTACACTGACACTATATGACAATTCATGATCTGTTCACAGTTTTGTTAAACATTGGGGTTCCTCCATGACGATTTCAAGGTTTAAAGGGACATATAGTCACCAGAATGACTACAGCTTAATGTAGTGGTTCTGGTGTCTATTGCCTGTCCTTGCAGGATTTTCATTGTAAAGCCTAGTTACACCTCTAGTGGCTGTCATTCAGGTGTCCACTGGAGGTACTTCCTATTCAGTGCTGCATCTGTGTTCAGTGTTTAGCATCTAGACGCTCTGCCGAATTACGCTTTTCGAGATGTGCATTGTATCACTGTTCAGTATTATGTTTCTAAGCACGTTTCATATTACTATTTGAATGCAATAATTGTCTACAAAGGCTGTGTTTTCATAAGCTGTAAGATGTCTCACTTTAATCAAGCTTTGAAAGATGAAACAATAAAAACCTATTTAAAACAAATTTGCCTGAGCCTGTTCCTTATTGATGTCAGTAGCTCATCTTGTGAGCATCTTTGAGAATTTATTGGAGAGCTTCCCCAAGTTCCCCAACTTAAACTCAGGAGTGTTCTCAATTTGGGAAAAACTCATTGATGGAGCTTAGACAATGAGTCATCCATTTTATTTGTCAGTGAATACAGTGGAATGATCATTCTTCTGCATTCTAGAGTATATATTGGGCTCACTCAGCACTTTCTAAATTAACTACTTAAATATCCTGTCACATGCACAATTATTAATAATAACATTCCATCATACAACGAGGCACTCTAGACTGTTTTTTGACTGGGTGGAGGATGTCTTTAGGTAATGTAGTCATGTGCCACTGATGATGTATATTTTAAGTAAGTTGCTTCCATAAATTCACAATACTGAAATATGTTTTTCTGCATTCTAGAATACGTAACATTATGTTCCACATGCTTTGTGTTCTCCAGTCCAGATGTAATGCTTCAGGCTGTGCAGCAGAATGGCCTATGTCTGCAGTGGCATTGGATATAAAATCTAATCTGATTTTCCTTAGCTATAGATTGTGCAGGAAACCTGCTGTATGCATATGTTAATAAATGTGCAGAGGGTAGCAGAGTACTTTCTTAACATCTGGGTACCTTAAATACTGAAGCAATGACAAATATCGATTCACAGGCAAATTTGACATCATATCCTGAGTTAAGTCTCTCCTTTATTTCCTTGCAGGATTTGGCATTTGCTGACCGTCTGAAGATACCCCTTGTGCACGGGCCGTCTTGGCAGAGAACAGATAGCATGTCCTAGACGTAAAGCGTGACAGTCATTATAATATCCATAAACACACTAACATTTTCCAATAAAAATTTCTTTATGGCTTAATGTCAAAGCTGCTTTTGCTATACATAATCCCACGTGCCATGCCAGCACAAAACGCATCAGTCCTTTTCACCTTATGCTGCGTTCTCCTTGTTTTTGTCTCTCTCTCTTCAGCCAATGATGAAAAATTAAAGGATTTTGTACTTTATTTTCAGGTTGAGGGAAAATGGTAAAAATATTTCTTTCTCCTCTAACTTACATAGGAGCTATGGATTCTGAATAGCAATATGCCAGGAATACCTCAATAATCAACTTACATTTTTAGTTCTGGACACCTTCAGTATATGTATGTTGTTCAAAACATAACCTAGCGTAATGCATGCAGTGCCAGTACTTTTCAAACAGAAGCACAGCAATTATCGGAATACGCATATCATGTCCCCATTGATTCCCTTTAGCCTCTTTCTTCCCTTTACACAATGTCCCCTTCCATATGTTAATGTTTATTTATAACACAGCCTAAGGAAGAGTGTGTTAGCACTGTTCGCTGTGGGATTCTGTGAAAAAACATTTCTCGCCTTATCTAGGCAATATTTTAGAGTGTCAAATGTGGCTATACATCTGTTAAATTTTTCAACTCTAGCCTTAGGTTAGATTTGGCCTCGATTATAATCTATTGTTTGATAGTGATCTACAAGTTAATGTTAATGATGTTGATGTGATCACAGTAACACCTTTTCACTGGTTTTCAACAACACATTTGCTGAGCAGTCATGCTTAAAAAAAATCAAAGTCACCCCAAAGAAGATTTATTGACATACTAACAGAACCATTTCCCCCTTATTACATTTACCAATAAAAAAACATAATAAATCACTGAAAACATGGTTATCTGCAAGCATAGTAGAAAACATCACACACGTTTCCTCAATTAATGTTTGAGAGCAAGGCCCAAATTTCTGTACACTAGCTCTGATTGACCAATTAAATCAAATAAAGTACAAATAAGCACAAGTACCTTATACTGAAAATTGCAGTTTTGAAAATGTTTACAGAAACAGACACAAATATCAATATCTATTAAAAACAGAAGTTAGCACCATACATGTCACTAATTAGGATCACTACTGCTGTCAACATCTTTCAATCTGTGATGTAATAACAAAAATCCTGCATTATCAACATATTGTTTGTTGTTATCCTCATAATCGCAGTGTATATATTGCAATATTGTGTGAATAACAACGATGACTGAAATTAAGTCTAGTTTTAAGTTGAAAACAATTTCAAACATCAGCATTCCTATGGGCAGTGTCAGGGTCCCGCGGGCGGCTGCGAGGGGAGGCTGCAGTCCGCTCGCGGCACTCACCCTCCAGCCGTCCGCGGTCCCCTTCCAGACATGCGCTCTCCCACGGATGACGTCCGCCTCTTCCTCTGTGTCCCCCAGCGGCAGCATGCATGACGCTGCACGCTGGGAGACCGCCCATTTAAACAAACGCCGGGGTCAGTCACCTGACCCGGCGTTAAAGGCACAGTGCCTCAATCACAGTGGGAGGTTTAGATATCTCCCACGTGTGATTGTTAATTCTGATTGGAAATTATCCAATCAGAATTAACCTTTGGATTTATATACTCACCTTTCCTGTTGTGGTCTTTACTTGCTAGTATTGCTACTTACCTTGTGTTTCTGGTTACGTACTCTCTGGCTTGTTTATCCGACTTTGTGACTTTCTCCTACCCTTTGACCTCGGCTTGTTTCACGTTATTCTGTCTTCTGGTTCCCCTTACTCGGCTTGTTTCCTGACTATTCTTTGTGTGCTTAGCCCGGCCACTCTAAGGTCCGGTACGGCACTTTGTGTGTGTGTGTTGGCGTGTTTGGTTCCCCGAATCGTGACAGGCAGAAAAATACATTTTTGGATTGCAATCAAGGTAGAAGCAAACACAGAATTCCACCCGAGTTCAGAAAATGGTATCAGTTGAAAGCCAGCAAAAGATTGTGATGGAGGCCACCGTTTGGAAACATTTGACACTTTGGAAATTTCCCAGAGCATAGATTAAAGGGATTCCCTGCTCTGGTGCGTTCATCTATGTTCGGGGAAGTTTCCCCGGACATAGACAAACGCACCAGAGCAGAGAATCCCTTAACTCCTCACTTACCGACCAATTTGTTCTATTGCCGGGTGGTAGGAATGGAATCCGGTCGGTAAGTGAGGAGTGTCTGTACTGTATAAGTAGGATATACTGTACTAGATATGCATTAAATATTCTGTTTTACTGTAGTAGATATAAGATACATATATATATATATACACATGCTTGCAGGATTGGCTTTGACTGTCTGTTATTTGACTTACCATGACCGGTTTGGGAAGATTGTCATTCTCACAAATGACTGGTAATGAAAGGCCAAACAGTTTGCCTGGAGCTGGGGAGGTCGGAGACAGAGGTAAATTATCCAATTGAGTATTTGAACCACGCCAAAAAGTCCAATTTATGATGGATCGCTTCCTTTTAAATGGTTTCTGGCTCGGATCTGGGGGGGAGGGAAATACAGACATAATATATATTCATATAATGTAAATCAGATAACACAATGGCTTATTACTATGATATTGAATAGCCTGTTGAAGTAATCCCAATGGTACTTGTTATCCAGTACATATTGTTTGATAATAGTCCTTACTGAAAATGCTCGATACTGATTCTTAATATATCAGTCAGTGATATCTGCGCCACAACACTACACAACCAGTTGTGCTATGTATGGGTTTACTGTATAGCATAACAATGGTTCATTTATTTATGAAGTCTGAGGCTCTTGCTGCTTTTAAGTGTGACACATCTAAGACTGCAGTAAGATATTAATTTTTGCAGTTTAATGGTCAACAAAGCAAACCACTTCTTAGAGCATTTTAGGTTATGACCTAGCCTCTCAAATGTCTTTGTAAAGTTGAGGTCCATTTCTTGCCAGTTAACATTCTGAGAAGAGGAGGTTCCAACCCTTGCCTCCCTTCTGTATGTGAAGGTAAGAGAATACACATGGTTGTGCACAGGAACGACACGTCCATAAACCGCTGTGGAGCCATGGCTTCAGGTGGCACTCTGACAGAGCCGGCATCTAACACAGGAGTTCCCAACTTGTGTCGGCGGTGCAGCTGCACCGCATGGGTTGGGAACCTGCTTGAAGGCCCCTTCTATCCGCATGGAGATCTGAGAGGAAGTGACAGCCTCACACTTCCTCCCGGCTCACACACTGACACAGAGCTGCGCTGGAGGAGAGAGATGCAAG